TAGGTTTGGGCAGTTCTTCCACTGCTAACTGTAATTCATCGACCACTTTTTTACTAATTAAACATCTACTACATCCAGTGTCGATTAATGCTCCATACTGACCCCTCAATTTGCTTGTTAAATTTTCCAATACTACTGGTATAACAAATGGTCGCACAGGATTATTCACCAAATCATCCTCATCCGGACTGTCATCTCCACTATCGTATAACCCCGAGACTACCTTGGGTAGTTGTTTGACATCAGGTGTTTTCCTCTCACGTCTATTTGTCATTACTTCCGTGTTCATTTTTTGTGACACCCCTTGAGATCTTTCAGAGGTAACTGTCCCTTGCTTCATACCACGGGGCATGACACCACTTGGTAAATTGCTACTTGTGGTGCTAGGAATGCGAGCCACCTGTTTTCTATTATTGAGTTCTATAGATGGAAACTCCATTGCCCTATGTCCCAGACCTTGGCATTGGAAACACCTTATGGGCCCCATTCCCCTACCAATCCTTTTAGCCTCCTCCCCCACATTACCCCGTGCTGCTACTGGTCCTATTGGTTGTCTTTTGGGCCCTCCAAACGTAGGACAGAACTCCCTCAGTCCCACATCCAACTCCACAACTGTTTTATACCATTCCCCCAGTTTCTGGGGAACCCCCCTATAAAGATAAGCCTGCCTCAATCCTCTATCCAAACCAGATCTAAATTCTCTAATCAATAGTCTTTCTGGCCAGGTGTACAACCTAATTGCCAATTTCCGAAACTCTCTGACATACTCCACAGCAGGCCCCCCATCCTGCTTCAATGACATTAATGCTTCTTCATATTGATGTATCCTTGACCTATCTTCAAATTGAACTTTAAGTGCATCCAAAAACAAACCAACATCAATCAATTCCTTTGCATGCACACTATGCAACTCTGCAGCCCAATCAGCATCACCTGTTAACACTGTAGTTATCGCAACTATAATAGACCACTGAGAAGGATAGCAATTTGAATATAATTCTAGGTGGTTCACAATTTGGCTTAAAAATAATGCTAACCTATCAGGGTTCCCATCAAAGGAAGTGTTTATAGGAGGAGGACCACCCCAAACCATTCTTTGGGGCCAATATCCAGACGTGCCTGGTGGACCCCAGGAGTGAATTGTTTGTCTATTCCCCATCTGCACATCCCTAAATTCAACCTTGGAACCTGGGGCTAGTTTAGAGGTTTTACTCCGAGTTCCTGATACTCCTACTACATCTGCTAATGATTCATCTACTTCCATAGAAAATGTTCCCTCCGACCTCCTCCTACTCATATCCCTGCTATCTCTGGCACTTGAACTAAAGAAAAATGTGTCTTCCGTTCTAAGTCCACTCCCTGGACTGTCCCAAATGGTCTGGGGAATAGAGTCACGAATGCTTAAGTCACCATACTTGACACGGAGCAGTTCCAACGTACTAGCGTTTAAACTGGTCGTAGAAGTACTACACTCGTCTTCGTCAGCAATCCGTCGTTCCCTCCACTTCTCAAACGTCCCGGAGGGCAGCGGCATAAAAGTGGGAGGTTTCCCTTGTGAAACCTTCCCCCTCATATCGTCCCTCAACTCCAATCCTGATTTCCATTCCTTCCAGATTTTCAGCCATACCACAGGCTGAGGATCCTCTTCACATCTTGCGTTATCTGTTTGTCCACTTTCCAAAGACACCACATTATCGTCCAACTGAATTGAGGGCTGCTCAGGCACTACGTCAGCCCCTCCAACAGCATTATCCGCCTCCACCTGCGAAACATGCTCAAAATCTCCATCAACGGCAGTACCTTCAGCCATAATATCACAGGTAACGAAATATTGTAGGATGTATGAGATTCAACTATCCTCTCAGCTACTCTTTGGCACAAATGCAGGGAGAAAATAAGACACTCTTCGCTTCAGTATTTCGTAACACAAAAGCTTGCTTATTCCTTCCTCCGCAAGGCATCTGAGATAATAGCTAAGCAAACAAAATAAAGTTGGATCTAACCCGAGTTTCCTGGGATTCGATATTTATAATAATTTCCCCTCATTACCCTTCATTACCCCTGATTACTGTTATGAATGATAATTATTCATACAAACTCAATCACATGAATCGTGGTTAATGCATATAGCTTCACCTCACAGCATTTTACATAGACCTTGCATATTATTATGATACAGATTTTATTCTGATGAAGAGGAATGCCATCCTTCAGGTCGCTGTGGCTTCGATTCAAACGCATGTGTTGCATAGTTGCAACAGCTGCAATGGGCATAAATGCGAGGACCAGTCATAAGTGCGAGTCAAATGAGGCATTGCAGATTTCGTGGTGATGACAGTGGCCGTGGAAGAGAGATTTGTGGTACAATTAGAGGTGTTTTAGGTATGTTTAGAAGGCGGGGCCAGGCACGGTGAGTGATGTTGAGTTGGCCACACCTTCCAAGTCACATGACCATCTAGCCACGCCTACCAAGCCACGCCCACAGAACCAGTAGTAAAAAAAATTGAATCCCACCACTGATCAAAACCATTAGAAATGCCCCCAGGATATGGAAATCCTTTACATATGCAAGATTCCCCAAACCTGTGGCTGCCCTGAAGATGGAAAGCTGCCGGGATTTAAGTTTTGTGCTAGAGCAGTGAAGTGGTGAGAGACGTGCAACCAGATAAAGAACTTGATTTTTTTCTTAACAACCCCGAGAAGTAGAAAGAAAGTGCCCTCGCATAAGAGTAACACAGTGGTGAACAGGGAAAAAAAAGAGGAAAATACAAGGTAAACGAAATTGGTTTATAAATAGCTACAATGGAATCAGAGACTAAACTCTGAATAATATAAACTGGCATTAATTAGGCATTGGATTAAATGCTGGACTTGCCTGGAATTGGTTAATACTAAGAAAATTAATTGTGGAAATGGTTGGAAATTAATGTTTAATATAATTAAAAGAGAAAAGAAAAGAACTTTAAAAAGTGGAAAGTGATACAGAGCACCATCTAATGGTCAAAGACTTTTTTCCCCTACAAAATTATATGGAAATTTACTGGACTTCTAACTATTATGGAATAAAAGACAAATAAAATAATAAGAACCCCGGAAATTTGGGGAAAAGGGGGAAAAATTCTACCAAGAGGATATAGATGCAACTTCCTGGGACTGTTGGGTGTTGATTGTGACAAAGAGACAGAAAGATTAACAAAAGAAATAAAGATAAAAGGAGACTTTTGGCAAGGATTGCAACAAAAGACTTTGAATATTAACAATTTATTATAACCATGGAAGAAATAAGCAAAGACTTTAAGTTGGAGTTACAAATGGTAAAAGGAATGTTCAAAGAAAGAAGGGAATTATTGGAAATACTGGAAAAGAAAATAATGGCGATGGTCACAGAACAAAGAAATTCCAGTGAGGCAGAGTTAAAGGAAGAAGAAAGAGGCTTAGACAGACATGGAGAACAAGAGACTTTGTCAAAACACACTAAAGGAATTAAAACTATGATATTGATGACAGACTTAACAAATAAAAGAGGAAATGCTCTCAGGATCAAACAAAAGAAGAAAAAATTATACAAGAAGAAACTTCAAAAAAAAAGAACAGGAAAGCGGGGGGAGAGAAGATGGGTGAAATGTTAGAAGGAAAGAAGGAAGACCAGAGAAATTTAGAAAAGGGAAAGTTGGCTAAAATTAAAATAAACAATAAAGCCAAAAAAATTTAGAGATAAGGGTTAGGGATTTTATAAGGGGGATATCACATGGAGCATATATTGGTGTTTAATTTAAAACTTGTAGGGAAATGAGTAATTACATATATGAATATTAACTGTATATAAAATGTGTTGTTATGAACCCCCTTTTTTGGAGGATCAAAACAAGGGAATGGAAATGAATTTTTAAAAAAGATATGATTATTAATGATTATAAGTAAAGTGAAGATAAAATGAGAGATATTAAGAAGTTATTTTAGTGATTTATTGGAGGGGATATATACAGTTGACTATATATACAGTTGATTATTTAATGGATATTAGAATTGTACAATGAGAATATCTTATTATGATTAAAATAGGGGAATGGAAAATACCATGTGGATCCTAAATATATTGGTTTTATCTATAGTTTTACTCTTTTAGATTGTTTATTATATATCAGCTTAGAGAAAACTAAGGATAACAATGATGCGTAATGTAAAATAAAATAGGTGGTAAGCTGAAAAAGGAAATAATAGGGGATAAAGATTTGAAAACTTATGTACGGATGAAATGATATTGATATTGAATTAATGAATTGAAATATGAAATGCAAACTTATTTAAAGATGAGTGAAATGGATAATGATATAAGTTAATATTATATAAGATTAATGGAAATGAAAGTATGACTATGTACAAGTGTTATAACCTGGAAACATGTTGCCCATGTGGAAAGTTGCATAAAATTTAAAAAAATAAAAAACTTTTGGGAAAAAAAGATTCCCCAAACCTGGACCCAAGGTCAACACCAAGGCACACAAGGGGGATGAAACTGCCCAAAGGTGACAGCCCATTTAAGTACACATTCCTTTCGGGTAAAAAAAAGATCCCTTCCTCTGTGTGATTGCCACCTCCAGCTGCAATGTTAAGCCAGTTGATAAGTGGAAAACCCCACAAGCTCAGCAGGGTGCCTTAACTACCAAGTGCCCCCTTTTCGCCATCCAGCTACTTGCAGTTTCCAATAATTCCTAGAGGGCAAGTCCTATCCCTGGGAGGAGCAAAGAAAATGTATCTCTATAAAGGTAACCATCTCAAACCTGTAAGTTGTTGCAACCTTCAATTGCTGTACTGCACATTATGCTTTCAAAATAAACTCTGCCTCTGCTCCAAGCAATTCACCCTTTTAGATGACCCATCCTGGATTCCAACCTAGGACTTTCTTCTAAGACAATGGTCATAGGAGTACAGTAAATGCATATGCATTTGGACAAGCTATTGTTTGAAATACACATTTTTTAAAAAAGAAAAGCACTCACTTTTTAATTTCGCAGAGCAACATTCGAATGAGGACAGTCTGTAAGGGCTCAATCATTAATCTCTTCCACATATCAAGTGCTAGCTGTCATGGTACAATAGAAAACAAGTCAATAACAGAACTGTCATTTCATTCATTCTTATTTTAAAAAAGACGCTGAGTCCTAAAGGCTCCAAAACAGGAATAAACTGAAAGGGTACTAAATAGCCAATTAGCGTAACAATTCCCGCTCTTATGAAGGAGATCTCCAGCAGCTGAATTTCTACCAAATTTAAAACTGGCTTCCTGTCATTTCAAAATAAGTGATGGAGGAATGGTTCCTTGTATTTTTATCTACCTCATTAGCTTTTCTTTTTTCAACAAATTACTGTGAAAAGAAATTATGCCAGTTCCAGGGCTATCCCAAATTGCATCTTATATCCAGGAATAAGTAACATGTTGGAACTGAAGAATTATTTTTCTGCCCTTGGAAAAACAGACATGACAAAAATTCAATGCCTAAACAAATTAAGTACAGTTTAGAAAATACTGAATTCTAGTATTTTATTAACCATTCCAAACAGTAAGTTATAGAAATATATATTATAGAGCAAAAATATTATATATAATCACCAGCAGTTCCAATTCCTTGATAAAAGTAAATGTACTATACACAGTTTTGAAAGAATTTTGCTCCCATTCACACTTTTGTGGAGGGGGGGTGTACATGTAAGTTTTAAATGCACTTAAAATGTAACTTTTGGAGTGCCCCAAATGGAAATTAATTTAGGGTTGCATGAGGTAAAGATTTTATTTAAAATACATGATTTAAGAGTTTAATGAAAGGACTATTAACACTCTAGAAAAAAATAATTAAGCAGCCCTTGGTTCAGTTTTACTTTCAACAAAATTAAAAACAAAATTAAACACTTATTCAAAAATCTTAAAGAGGAGCAATTAAAGGTTACTTATTTGGGGAACTACTATTTCTCATAACTGTCTGTGTATCAGCCCTTTGAGGTATGCAAGATCAATAAACAGGCATGGCAGGGACTCTAGGAATGTTTTTATTGTAGCAGAATAACCAAATCTTGAAAGCCTATTAGAGTCCTCTCTGTTCCATCTTATACCAAACAAAATCAAGGGAGAGTAATTTTTGAGGTTTTTTCTCACTCTTTCTCAAGATTGATAATCTTTTCAGTGAATCTCTCCTTAACCATTTGATCATCCCTTCTCCATTTTTGAAGGCCAGGTTTAGATCCCTTACAGTCTATGTGTTGTACATATCTCTGACACACCTCTCACCATAAACACATATTGACAAGTACATCATCTTTGGCTGATTTGGGGCCCTCGGAAATCAGTGTAACTTAGTCTTGACTTAAATTTCATTGATTGTAATGGAATCCTATCTATTACTTTTTATTCATGAATTATTCCTGAATCTATCTTCAACTAATTCCACTTGACTTTTATTTCATAGGAAAAAAACCCAAGAACAAATAACCATTCACAGTTTGCTGGTAGAAATGTGATATAGATAGGTAAGCAGACCTTACTGTTTCTTGACGAAAATAAGCAAAAAAATAAGATAGGCTTAAGTACACCTACAGCAGTGATGGCTAACCTTTTTGTTGTTGCGTGCTGAAAGTGCGTGCATGCACGCACATGCCTGCACCCATAATGCAATGCACGCACGACCCATGCGACCCCCACCCCCTGCACATGCGCGCACCCCCCCGTGACCCCCACCCCCTGCATGCAACCCCCCCGCACGACTCCTGCCCCCCTGTGGATGCACGTGCAAACCCCTCCCCATGCTCCCCTGCACATGAACACACATCTCCTGCATGCCCCCTGCGCATACATGGCAGATACCTGAAAATCAGCTGGCTGGCAGGATGCACACATGCATGCACAGTGGAACTGAGCTCGCATGCTGGCAAAGATGGCTCTGCATGCCACTTCTGGCACATGTGCCATAGGTTCACCATCATGGACCTACAGTACCTCTAAAGCAGTGTTTCTCAACCTTGGCCATTAAGATGTGTGGACTTCAACTCCCAGAATTCCTAAGCCAGCACTGAAGTTGAAGTCCACACATCTTTTAAGTTGCTACGGTTGAGAAACAATGCTCTAGGCTAAAGTATTAACTTTCCCTACACCATGTTCTGAAAAGGTCTCCACTAGCTCTATTCTTATCTACTTCCAATTAAAGAGGCTACCTTAAACAAATAAGCATTGAATACATTCCAACCATTAATTATATTTGGCATTTCTGTCATCAGAACCTTACAGCCCATATTTGCTCCTTTAGGGTTCACCCCTCCTATCTAGCTACAGCAATTTCAATTCCTCTGAATAGGTAAATCGAAAGCTAGTTAAAAGCCAATAATAGCTGCAAGTGTTTCCTGTTGAACATTCAGGAAAATAATAAAAGCTTTGCTTTATTGATTCAACAAAATAGACATGATGTTGAAAAGACAGAAATCATCTTAATGGACAATTAGACAGTCACAAAATATGTCCTTCATAGTTAACTCTCTAAAGTTCTTTTCCATACTATTTACCTCTCCAATCTCCATCAATGTCTCACTCATATCCAAACCTCCATAACCATATTGAAGATCAGCTTCAGTCAATTTGTTCTTTTTAATAAACTGTGTATTGAGGTATCTGTGAAAAAACCCAACACATTTCTTATCAGATATTTTCTAAAACTGTTCTATGGAAGAAAAAAAAGTCAGGAAACGCACAGCATTTTTAAAATATATTTTTAGACCCAAGGAATACATATGCATGTACAATAATGAATTTGTAACACATCCCAAGCTTGGCTGGTGCTCCGTTTTGGCCAAGTTACTGGAGAAATCAGTTGGCAGAAAGAGCAAAATAGCACTATACAAACTTACAATATCTGACAACCTTGGGCTTTCAGTCCAATCACTGTGGCCCTATTCCCAATTAAGGTTTCCCACAGATGAACTGACCTCCATACTGAACACTCTGTGGCAGGGGAACTGCCCTGATGGACATGTGATGATGTAAAATTTTCTCAAGTTTAAAAATGTTTTAAGGCAAACTTTTGTGTAAAGACTGTCATGTAGTGACCTAGAAGTTTCCTGCCTATTTAAGACACCCAAGAGCAGACACATCCACATGTTGATGAAAATAAATAAAACGGCAGAAGTGTTAGGCAGTGGAAGACACTATTGGTGGTTATCAGACATTGCTAGTGTTGCATGTGGGCTGTATGAATCCAGGCATAGGAGGAGGAGAAATCTGAAGCTGAGGATCCAGCAGGATCTGAAAGAAAGATATGTGGATTGGACTAGCCATTAGAAAAGACTGCAGCATTTAGAAAAGACTGAGCAGATATCAGTTTGATAAGGATGCACAAGGTAACTATGACATGATGGCTTGACAAAGATGCCGGAATTCCAAACAGTTTAGAAAAGCGCTATTTTTCCCTCTGATTTCCTCTGTAGGGTAAAAACAAGCCTGAGAAATGAAAAGTGAAGCTGTTGACTGGAGTGAGCATATCAAACTTGTGATAAGAAATAATTCTGTGAATAAGGGAGGGAGGAAAAGAGACAAAAATATTGAGAAAACAGATAGTTTGTGGAGTTACATGTATCCTGTTCTATTGAAAAGTATAGTTTGTTAAGTCAAGGCAGTGTTTCTCAACTTCATCAACTTTAAGATGTGTAGACTTCAAGTCCCAGAATTCTAGAGCTGAAGTCCACACATCTTAAAAGTTGCCAAGATTGAGAAATACTGAGCTAAGGTCATGGTATATATTAGAAATAAGCACCAATTATTCTTCTAAAAGCACTATAATAAACATCACTGTAATTTTTGAGAACTGTGCATATGTGTATGCAAAATTCTTGTTCCATTTTCCACCTTCCAACACAGGCACCAGATGTGGGGAAAGAAAAAACTTCCAGCACAGATTTGTAGTGCTAGTTTATTTTTCTAAGTGGGAGATATGTTGCCTGAGTACAATTGTCTTTTGGATATTGTGTGACTAGCCATGTCCCAAACAACTCTCACTTTGTACCTTTACAAGGTTCTTCCAATGAAAAATTGGTAAGCATATTTGTTAGGAATGTTGGGGTTGGAAATATATAAACAAGGATAGACATTTTAATACTATGTCTTTAAGAAAATGCCAAACTGTAATTGGGTGTGGTTCCGCAAATGGCCATAAGATGGAGACAGAAACCTGGGTTGTGTTAGTCTCAGAAGAGTCTCAGTGAGTCTCTGTTTCTTCTGTTGGAGAGTGTTGCCGTTCCTCCTAATGACTGTTACTGATCATTGATGTAAGTCTGTTACTGAACTGTTTTTTGATACTGGACTTTGATATTTGGATTATCCCTGAACTGAACACTGACTGCTTTACCTGTGAATGACTTGGACTGCTTATCTTGGACTGTGCTTAAACGTTTATTGGAAGTAAAAACCTACATTTACTGTACAGTGTATCTGTGTGCTGTGAGTGTATTATTCAACATTACTCTCACTACGTCTCCCTGTATGCACTCATTCTCCCAACAGGGAATTACCTCAACAATATTCACAGCAAGTGTCAAAACTGTAAACGTACTCACTGGACCAAAACACTAAAACAGTTAAGATTAATCACATTTCCAAATTCCAGAATAAGTTAAAAATGCATTTACCTATATAAACAATCCATATATTCTGCCCCTTTACTGTATTCATCCCAGTTTCTATGATACATTACCAGTACTTTTTCTTCAGAGTCCAAGACTGTCTGTGGAAAAAAATACAGAGAAAAAAATATTTTATTATTCATGTATTTGAAATGTTAAAAAGCAACTCAGTGCATAATAAATTCAGCTCAATAAACTATTTCAAGTATTTGGGACAAGCCATAAATATTTAACACTCCTATATCATATTTCAGAAAATAAAAACAAATGACTGTTTTCTTCCAACAGACTATACAGGTGAAACTCGAAAAATTAGAATATCGTGCAAACGTTAATTTATTTCAGTAATGCAACTTAAAAGGTGAAACTAATATATGAGATAGACTCATTACATGCAAAGCAAGATAGTTCAAGTTGTGATTTGTCATAATTGTGATGATTATGGCTTATAGCTCATGAAAACCCCAAATCCACAATCGCAGAAGATTAGAATGTTACATGTAATCAATAAAACAAGGATTGTACATAGAACAATATCGGACCTCTGAAAAGTATAAGCATCCATATGTACTCAGTACTTGGTTTGGGCTCCTTTTGCAGCAATTACTGCCTCAATGCGGCGTGGTATGGAAGCTATCAGCCTGTGTCACTGCTGAGGTGTTATGGAAGACTAGGATGCTTCAATACCGGCCTTCAGCTCTTCTGCATGACATGGCTCCCCAAATCAACACAGACTGTGGAAACTTCACACTGGACTTCAAGCATCTTGCAGTGTGTGCCTCTCCATTCTTCCTCCAGACTCTGGGTCCTTGGTTTCCAAATGAGATGCAAAAGTTGCTCTCATCAGAAAAGAGGACTTTGGGAGGGGGCAGAGCTGACGTCGCAACGATACTGCATGCAATCTCGGAGGTCTGAGATTGCAGCCGATATCTTTGCCTCTGGACGGTCCCAACGGACCTAAACCATCCTGAAGAGATGGTGAAAGTGAAGAGCACATCCTGCCGATCCCAGGGACACTGCAAAGTCCCTGGTTGATCCAGGAGAAGCCCTTCTTGCCGGTGGCAGAGAGGCAGCCATCAAAGCTGCTGAAGTTGGGACAGCTCCGATCGGAAGAGACTGGAAAGAGAAAGTGTGTCCGTTTGGTGAGAACTGTTTTTTTATCATTACTCTAAGACTTAAAGGGACACCCTAAGGAAATGGAAAAATCTGTAAAAGTTTTGACAGAATAAAATAAGCGGCGGTTTTTAAACAGAAATGTCAAAGTAAGGCTTGGCTTTTTATTTTATTTTTTCTTATTACTGGACTTCTATCGCGATTTAACATTTGCTAACTGGACTGGCTTCTTTGTTATTTACATCTATTTTTTCTTCTCTTTTTTGACTTTGCAACATTTTAGGTTAGAGGCTCCCTTTAGTTACTTTTCTTTTATATATATATATACTTTTTTTTAAACTTCTATTATGTTTTGCCTGGAAAAGGTGGGGGAAAGTGAGAGTAAAGAAACTTTGTAACACTGCCAACTAGAGGCCTGAAAATATATTAGACGAAGCTGAGAAAGCTGAGAAAGCAAGATCAGAGACTCCCTTTCAAGGACATTGCAATGTGATAAGATAGAGGGAAGAGCACGGGAGAGTGTTATTGCAGGTGTTCTTCTGGATTTCTATCAACAATTGAAGTTTGGTTTTGAAGTCTGTGGAGAAGAGAGTTATAATAAGAGCCTTGGATGATTAAATAAAGTGCAGTGTGTTCTTTTTATTTTTTTTAAGTTGTGCTACCCCTCCTTACCAGCTTTACTGTACTCTTTTTTTTAAAAAAAACCTTTATTTTTGTAATATTTCCATTTTTTCTTTTTCTTTTAAAGGGAAAGCCTCAAAAAAAATTATTTTTTTCCCCCTTCTCCTCTGGGATTTTTTGCTTTTTCCATCCATACTTTTGGTTTATTTTTATGTTTTTATTTTTTTATTTTTGAGACCTTTTAATTGGATTAAGGTGGTGAAGAACCTGAAGAATTTTTTTTTCTCTTTTTCTTTTTTTGTTCTTTTTAAAACTTTTTTGTTTCTTCCCTTCCTTTTCACTAAACTATTGATTGGATTAAGGCTCGGAAGAACCTGAAGAAATTTTCTCTCCCTTTTTTTTTTAATTACTATTGGGCTTTTTTCCTTCTACCATTTTTATTTTTCATCTTGGATTATACTTGGCTACTTCATAATTGGATTAAGGTTCAGAAGAACCTGAAGATCTTCAATTGTTTAAAATGAACAGGAAATTTATAGCTTCTGGCTCCTCAACTTCTACTTCCGCCTCCCCACCTGGAGGACAACGTTCAATCCAGACAATGTTAGAGCAAGACAAAGAACAAGAAAAAGTGACCTTACAGATGATTATGCAAGGAATCCAACAACTTAAAACAAAATCAGACACTATTGAAAAGAGAATAGAGAAAACTGATGAAAAAGTGGAGAATATTCAACAAATGATGGTGAAGTATGATGAGAGATTCCAAAAAATTGAAGAAGATAAACAAAGAGACAAAAAGATTGGAGACATTGATACCAGATTAACAGTGGTTGAACAAGATAAAAGTGGGATGCTGAAATGGGAGATGGACAGATCAGAATTTTATCTCAGATTTCAAAACATAGAGGAAGAAAAAGGACAAAATCTAGCTGAGATAATGATAGAAATATTGGCTGAAGCTTTGGAAATAACAGAAGAGAAGATGATGGATGGAGTAGATGAAGTATATCGAGTTTTTACAAGATATGCGATGAGAAATAACCTACCAAGAGAAGTTTATATCAGATTTACAAAAAAAGCCATTAAAACACAAATATTGCAAGTGGCAAGAGAGAAAACTCTGAAATACAAGGGCAAGGAGATTGTGGTCTTAAAACAAATACCCAGAAAAGTGAGAGAGATAAGAAGAGAATACTGATTCTTAACTAACATGTTACTGAAAAAAGAGGTGAATTATAGATGGCTAATTCCAGAACGATTAATGTTTACATGGCAAGAACAGAGACACAGAATTGATTCAATTGAGAAAGCAGAATTATTCTACGCAGAATTTTTTGGAAGGAGAGAGGAAGAGGCAGAAAAAGAGATTTCACTAATTGAATTCCAAGGGGACCAAATGGAGACTGAAAAAGAAGAAGGCGCAGTAGGTGGACAGGTGGAAACTAAAGAACAACGTGAACCAAGATCTACGAGAACTACCAAACCTAACTATAAAGCATAATCATGGCAGAGAAAAAACTGATTACAATGAATATAAATGGACTTAATTCGGCTGCTAAAAGAAGGAAAATTTTTCATAAATTAGAGAAATTAAAATTTGATATAATTTGTCTACAAGAAGTACACATTAAAAAACACTATGAACAATTGTTGGTACAGCCAAAATTAGGGAAAATATTTACTTCTTTGACTCAATATAAGAAAAGAGGAGTGGTTTTATATATTGAAGAGACCATCTCAGCAAAATTGATTCATACTGATGAAGATGGAAGAGTATTAATGGTGGAAATAATGAACAATAATATGAAAACACTCCTGATTGTAATTTATGCTCCAAATGATAAACAAGAAGAATTCTATAAAAATTACATATGAAAATAATTGAACTGGACTATGTTAATATAGTTATGATGGGAGACTTCAATGGAATTGTAGACAACAAATTGGATTATACAGCAACAACAACAAAGCAAAATAGACTCTCCCTAAATCCTTTTTTAAAATGACAGATGAAATAAACTTAAAAGATATATGGAGAGAAAGAAATGCTAAAACCAAACAATACACTTTTTACTCAAATAGACATTTATCATGGTCCAGAATAGATATGATTTGGATTTCAACAGAACTAATATCTAATATTCAAGAAACAAATATTGAAACAAGTATTTGGGCAGACCACAATCCAGTGACAATTAAATGGAAAGGTCAAAAAAGATCGAGATGGACGTTAAATAATACTATTTTAAAGGAAAAGGACTTCATATAGCGGATGGAGAAAGAATTGGCCTTTTTCTTTAGAGAAAATAAAAAAGAAGATACTTCAATTCAGAATGTCTGGGACACAATGAAGGCATATGCTAGAGGCTTGATAATAGACTATACAAGTAAAAGGAACAACAGGAAAAGGCAAGCCACTAAAGCTTTAGAAGACGAGCATAAAAGACTTGAAAAAGAGCTACAGAAAACGCCACAGAAAAAAGACATTCAACTAAAATTGGACATAATTAAACACAAAATGGGTCAAATAGAGAAAGAAGAATTAGCACAGAAAATTAGAAGTGCTAAACAGAACTATTTTGAAGATGCAAATAAACCAGGTAGATGGTTAGCATACAAATTAAGAAAGGAGAAAGAATCAAGGAAAATATTGCAGTTAATAGATGATCAAGGTCAAGTTTGCTACGGCAATAAAGAGAAAAAGGAAATTATTCGAGACTTCTATGGGCAACTATATAAGCAAGAGAATATTGATGAGGAAAGAGTCAAACAGTATTTACAGAATGCTAATCTACCTAAGATACCTAAAGAGACTGAAAAAATGTTAGAAAGCAATATAACAATGATGGAATTAACTGAAGCCTTAAGAAGCAAAATAATGGAAAGGCACCAGGCCCAGATGGACTTCCGGCAGAATTTTATAAAACATTACAAGAATCGTTGAGCCTTCCATTGCTAGAAGTCATGAATGAAGTTATGTCAAAGAAGAAGATACCTAAAACATGGTCAGAAGCCTATATTACACTTATTCCAAAAGAAGAGGCTGATCCATCGCATATTAAGAATTATAGACCTATTTCTTTACTAAATGCAGATTATAAAATTTTTGCTTCAATATTGGCAGAAAGACTTAAAAATACTTAAATAACTTTATTCATCCTGATCAAAATGGATTTCTGCCAAAGAGACAAATCAAAGATAATATGAGAGTAATTTTGGACACTTTGGAATATTATGAGGCACATCCCGAAAATCAAATGGCTTTGATATTTTTAGATGCACAAAAGGCATTTGATAATGTGAATTGGAGATTCATGCTATTATTATTGGAACAGATGGGTTTCGTCAGAAAATT